TGAAAGCAGTAAGAGATTCCACAACAGCAAACAAACCAGTTCTGAGTTTTTCCTGAGATAAAATTTAATAACTCCAGCATCTTTAGTATTTATCAAAATATAAAAGAAAGATAATCATATTTTGTTTTCAGATGGCAGATCTGACCCTTTTAGTATGAGGGAAGTAGTAAAGCAAAGTTCACACATATGCAGACACGGGAATTAATCCAAAAGGAGATGGGATACTTCTAGAATGGTGTCAGAGTGGTATCATCTGCATATCTGAGATCATTGATATTTCTCCCAGCAACCTTAATTCCAGCTTTTGATTCCCCCAGCCTGGCATTTCACAGGCTGTATTGTACATATCAGTTAAATAAATAAGGTAACGATATACAACATGATCATACTCCTTTCCCAATCTTAAATCAGTTGTTCCATTTTTGATTCTAACTGTTGCTTCTTGGCCCGTGTATAGGTTCCTCAGAAGACAACTAAGATGATCTAGTACTCCACTCTCTTTGAGGGCTTGCCACATTTTGTTGTGATCCACACAGTCAAAGCCTTTAGAATAGTTAATGAGGCAGAAGGAGATGTTTTCCTGGAACTCCTTTGCTTTCTCCATAGTCCAGCTAATGTTGGCAATTTGGTTCCTATGCCTCTTTGAAAACCAGCCTTTTCTTCTGGTAATTCTCAGTTCATGTATTGCTGAAGCCTAGTTTGCAGAATCTTGAGCATAACCTCCCTGGCAGGCGAAATGAATACAAGTGTTTGGTAATTTCAATGTTCCTTAGCATTGTCCTTCTTTAGGACTGAGATGTAAACTCATCTTTTCCAATCCAGTGGCCGCTGTTGGAGTCAAGAAGACCTGAGTTCAAATGTGGTCTCAGATACTAGCTGTGTGACCCCAGATAAGTCACTTAATATTTGTTTCCCTTAATCCGCTGGAGAAGGAAATGGCAAACCACTCAAGTATCTTTGCCAAGAAAACTCCATGGACAATGTGATTCATGGAGTCACGAAGAGTCAGACATGACTGAATGACTGAACAACAGATGATGTTTAAAAAGCTTTTTTTTTTTTAACAAATATTATTAACTCTATTTTATAGTTGTGGTAATGGAGGCATTTAGAGGTTATATGACTTGCCCAGGGCCACGCAGCTAGTAAATATCTGAGGCAGGTTTTGAACTCAGGTCTTTCTGATTGCAGGTCCAGCCTTCTCCCCATTGACTCATTTAACACTGAATTTATGATGATTTTATGTCAAAAGGTCACTGACTGTGCCTACCCAATGGGCCAGGTGCCTTCCTCAGGCTCTCTTGACCTCTAAAGGATAACAGTGGACCAGAGCTCTCTATTGGTTACCTCTTGCGCTCACTATGCGAGCAGTTCATCTTCTTTCTTATCATATAAGAAAGGTCAGCTCAAAGAAATAAAATCATAATGGCCAAGAAACATTCATATACTGTGCCTGATACTTTTACAATGCTTGAAAGTTATAAGCTTTAGTAATAAAAAAGAAAGCTTTCTTATTGTTCAAATAGTCAAAACGGACAGCAGGAAATTTTTAAGGAAACAAAATCAAGAGAATTTTATTATTTAAAAGTCAAATTAGGGGGGAAATCCTTAAAGAATGATTAAGCCCTAAGATGGTGGTGCTTAATAATGACAGTAGCAGCAAAAATAAAAATAGCACGTTGGCACCAGCTGTTCTATCGTGATTCCACCGTGGCAATCTTCTTGTCAAAGTACATGAGTTAATATTTGATTCAGAATGTTAGTGTTGGGAAGGTGCTTAGGGATCACTGAGTCTGACCTCCCAGTTTTATAAATGGGGCACAGTTCCAGAGAACTTGTGGAAAGGCATGAGCTAGTTCATGGTACATAGGTCCTGGATAAGGACTTGGGTCTGCTGCTTTGTACTCAGTGTTCCTTTTAAATGATGTGCTGTTTGACATTCATCTTTACTTAATTTTTAATCAGATTCTTCATGAAAAAATTGAGAAAGAAAACAGGTTCCATTCTCTTTTTCTAAGGTAGGAAAATGCAGATAATTTCTTTTCCTTTACATGGGAGGGAAGAATATCCTCTGATAGCATCTCAGCCACATTGTCTTGTTTTGGCCAAACTGGATAAAGGGTAGGACGGATCCAGGGAATTTTGTCTAGCTCCTTGCAGTACAGTGCCATCTTAAAAGTGCTAACAAGAAGGATCTTTCAGAGTTTGATCTCACCTCAAAATAGGAAAGAAGCAATTTTACATGCTGGGCTGATAGTCCAGGAAAGGGGGAAGCACATGTTATAATGGACAGAGTGCTGGTGATCTGAGTCAGGATGTCCTCATTTGGCTACTTGTGACTTTTATAACGTCAGAAATTCACTGGACTTATGTAGGCTTATGCTTGAATGTTTCCAGAATGTTGTTAGCTTTGGAGTCAGGAAAGATCTAGGTTCAAATTCTACATTAGTTCAAAGCAGCATGTGGAAGCCCCCTTCTCTATAAGTGCTTTCCTCTTTTATAAATAACCAGATTGTATTAATTGATCTCTAGGGCCTCCATATTGAGTCAGCTGCTAAATCTTGTTGGCCCTACCTCTACAACATCTCTTGCAGTAGCCCTCTTCTCTCTACCCACACAGTACCCTCTTAGTTCAGGCCCTCATTACTTCTTGTTGAGACTATTTACGATAGCCTCTTAATCAGCATCCTGATTCCAAACTCTCTCGTCACCAATCCATCAACCACATAGCTGTTAAAATGATATTCTTAGACTACAGATAGGGCTTTTACTGTCCTTACTGAAAAACCATATTCAATGGCTCCCTATTGCCACTAAAATAAAGTTAAAAATCCATAGCCTAGCATTTAAAGCCCTCTTAATATTGTTGGTTGGTTGTGTTCAACTCTTCATGACCCCTTGGACCATTTTATGCCAATATTATCCATTGGGTTTTCTTGGCAAAGATATTGGAGTGGTTTGTTATTTCCTTTTCCAGTAAATTGAGGCAAACAGAGGTTAAGTGACTTTACCAGGGTCATGTAACTGATGTCTGAGTCTGAATTTGAACTCGGGTCTTCCTGACTCCAGGTCCAGCTCTCTAACCACTATAAAATGAGCTGGAGAAGGAAATGGCACCACTCCAGTATCTTTGCCAAGAAAACCCAATGACTGAACAACAACAACAACAAATGAAGAAGCCATAGTAGCATAGTGGATAGAAGGCCAGCCTCAAAGCCAGGGTTTAAGTCCTGTCTGTGACACATACTGGGAGTTAAAGGACTGGCCCATAGTCACACAACTACTAAGAGTGAAATGTGGGATATGAACCTATGTCTCTCCTGACTTGTGCCATACTGCCCATTACTGTGTTCTAAGTTTACCTTCACCCCTAAAAAGACCAATTGCTCTGACTTTCCAACTCATCTTTTTTTTGTCACTCAGCATTTACTAAGTGCCTAGTGAGTCCAGTTCATTGTACTCAGCCCTTTGGGGAAGCCAAAAAACAAGCAGACAGACAAACAATTGAGTAAGATAGAATCCTTGCCATTGTGGAGATTATAGTCTAGATAGAAAGATGACTCTTAGACCTTTAAATATCACTGACTCACTAAACGCTCAGTATTTATATATAGCACTTTGAGATTTGCAAAACTCTTTGCAGATGTCTCATTTTATCTTCATAACAACTCTGGAAGGTAGGTGCTATTATTATCCCCATTATATAGATGAGGAAATTGAAGATGACAGAGGTCAAATGACATGTACAAGGTCACTCAGCTAGTTAGTGTCTAAAGCTAGTTTAGAACTCTTCTTGACTCTGGTCTAATGCTGTATCCATTGCACCGTCTACTGCTATGTAGTAACAGCAAATGCTTAACTTTTGTACATCAAGGCCCATCTAGTCCTGACCTGGCTCTTAGTGGTGCTAGCTGCTTATGAAAAGATTTGCATTGAAAATTAAAACTAGATTATCAGTAGACATAAAGCTGTGAAGAGAGAGGGCAGAAGGAGGCAGTTCAGCAACAGAGGGATGAAAAGTGAAGGCATTTTAGGGATGATTACATTAGATTTGGATGGCATTCAGGTTGGACCTAGAAGGACTGGTAAGACCTGGGGAGGTGGAATTGGGGGTTAAAGGTGAACAAGGCAGAAGGGATAGTTAGGAGCAAACAGAAGGCTGGACAGAAAAGGGCACGTCTGAGGAACAGGGGATAGTCCTGCAGATAGTAATAAACCTAGAAAGGTCAGTTGGGACCAAAATGCCTCTGTAGTCTCAGCTTCCAATTAGTAACCACCTTGGGAACAGGAACTGTGTTTGCTGTTGTGTTTTATTCTTCTCATATTCATTGCACTGCCCTAATAAAAGGGATAGCCGTAGATGAAACTGATCCATTAGGTTCTGGTGCCCTTTCTTCTTTGTCTGGGTTTCCTGAGTAACCATCACTTGCCTAGACACAAGTACCTAATGTGGACAAGCTTTTAGTAAATCCTCTTTAGAAAATCACTTTTTTAATTAATTTATTTTGATTTATCAACAATCACTTCCATAAGCTTTTGAATTTTAAATTTTCCTCCCCCTCCTTCTCCACCTCCCTCCCCAAGATGGAGTGCAATCTGATATAGGCTACACATACACATTCCTATTAAACATATTTTCACATCAATCGTGTTGTAAGGAAGAATTAGAACCAATAGGAGGAACCACAAGAAAGAGGAAACAAAACAGAACAGAAGAAAAAAAAAACAAATAGTGTGCTTCGATCTGCATTCAAATTCCCTAGGTCTTTCTTTGGATGTGGATAGCATTTTCCATCATGAGACTTTTGGAGATGTCTTCGATCCTTGCATTGAAAAGAAGAGCTAAGTCAATCAAAGCTGGTCATCACACAATGTGGCTGTTACTAGAAGATCACATTGGCTTTTTTTAAAATCACATGTTAGGGAATGATTTCAGGGCGGGGGGGGGAGTGCTTTAATACGATTTTAAAGATTATAATAGATTTAAAAAGTACACCTACCTGGAAAAAACAATTCTTTTTGGAGTTTTGCTCTGGATTTTTGGGAAAAACATCTTTTCTTTAGCCATTCTGCTTCGAAATCACTAATGTGTTCATCAGGCCATATGATATGTACCTTTTAACACAGTAAACAAACGTGTGTTTATATGCTGTTAGACACTCAGTACTTTTCAGTAGAAGCTTCAAACTCAAATAGAAATGGATCTCTGTTGACTTAGATCTTGCCTGTTGACTTAGAAAACTGCAAATTAGCATTATCTTTGTTATATTGTATTTTTATTTATTTTGTTAAACATTTCCTAATTACATTTTAATCTGATTCAAGTCTTTCTGGAATTTTGAGCCTGTCACCTCTACTCTACAGTCACTTAAAAAAAATGTGGAGAATTGGGAGATTTAGCAAATATCTGGATTGAAATGTAAACCAAATTACTCTTTAGCATAGAAGCCAAGAATTCTAGAGTTTTGAAGTCTGTCTAGGCCCAACACTTCATTTTGTAGATGAGGAAACTGAGGCCCAGAAAAGAGCTGTCTCTTGCTTAAGGTCGCATGATTTGTTAGTGGCAAGAGTCAGAACAGTGGCTCTGGTCTCCTGACTCCCAGTTCTTTGTTTTGCTAAGTCATCCTGCTTCTGAGGCTAGGTATAGTTAATGAAAGATATGAAATTGGCACGTCTGGGGTTGTGACATGTTACAGCTGTGTGACATGCTTTAGAGTTCTAGATGGAGTTAAGGTTGCATCCTGATGAGAACATGGTCTCCTCTCTCCTCTCTGGTTGTGAAAGCACAGGCTTTCAGCCTTTGTACGAGACCTTTTGTTGATTTATCCAAGTCTACGTCATCATTGTGAGGTCAGGCTTGGGGTCCGGGAATGAGGGGAGTGGTGTTCAGGAGCACATGAATGCTAGCAGTGAAATCCTTGAGTCAGTGAAAGGCCCAATGGGTGGACAGCACAAGGTGGCAGAGTTTTCCTTCCTTTCCGGGAGTCCATTTCAACATTAGAGAGGTGGATTATGGTAAAGAAAGGCTATGTGTGTGACTGTAGCAACCAGATTGGTAGCCAAACCACATACAAATTAAGTTCAGGAGTCAGCACACTTGGATTTGAGTTTGAGCTTTGGTCCTAACTTCAGGTATAGCCTTGAATCAGTCACTTAGTCAGAAGAACAGAATTTTGGAGCGGAAAAGGACCTAAGCAGCCATCTAGCCTATCCCCACATCTGGAACAGAAAAACCTTTCTGAATATTAGTTACCTCAAACACAAAAATGAAAAAGGTTCTTAGCTGGGATTTCATTGACCAATGGATAGATTTCGGGGGCTCTGTGAACTTGGTTAGAAAAAAATTCAATCTCATTTTCACTAATTTCTAACAAAAATTTAGCATTTCATTTATTTAAAAAAATGATTCTGAGAAAAGTTCCGTGGGCTTCACCAGTGTGATGAAGGGGTCCATGACACAAAAATGGTTCCAGATCCCTACACTAACTGTTCTTTAAGATCCCTTTCTGAGGATTCCATTCTATTCCATTCAATAAAATTCAATTCTAAGACTTATTGGTAGATCCCAACCTTCTGGCTGGAGATTTCTGCATTGAGCTTTGGGCTCAATCAGTCAATTGAGTATTAAGCACCTAGTGCGCACCAGACACTGTACTGATATCTAGGGATATGGGCATACATTTGTCTAGCAAGGTTAAAAAATAGCCCCTTAATACAAATTTCTTCAAAATTAGTTTAACTTTTTCTTAAAGGCAATATTAAAGGTTTAAAGAGAGAAAATACCTTTCTTTGGTTGATCAAAGTTAAGTGCTTGACCCATGTGTTAACGTCGAGGGCTTCGATGAGGAGTTTACGAGCTTTTGCAGAGTCCAGGTAGCAGCAAGGGCATTGGCAATTGTCTCTCAGCCACACGGCAGGGTAGAGAGACTCTTCGCCGTCATCCCAGTGAATCTGGACCAAATGGTCGGCATCCAGAGCCTCCACCTTCAGGATAGCTGAACTCATGCTGCCAGCCCTTGGCAGGAATGTCCAACCTGCTGTGGGAGAGCAGAGTTAAAAGGACATAGCTTGTTCTTTTGCCCCACAAGCAAAGTACATGGTGTGTTTGTTCTTTACTTAGCTACCACGATTCACATTTTGAGGAGACCTTTGTTGCTGTTAGATTATTTTACATGCTGGCAACAGAAGCAGTAGATGGAAAATAAACAAGATAATTATTTTGAGTCAAGGACTGGGAAGAAAACAGTCCTTCAGTTCTTCCACTGTGATTTTAAAGAATCACATGCACTGAGTTTGGACTCGATGAAAATTGTAATTTTATCATTATAACTGTATGAAATTTTTAGAAAGCAAAATTCTCCATAATTGAAAAATATACCTAAGCTTATTTGTTATTTAATAACAAATGCCTATGAGAAATGGAGAGAAAGAGGACCTTAGGAAGACTTAGGTTCAGATCTTGCCTTTGACACATACTGACTATGTGACCCTGGGTAAATCACTTAACAGCTCAATTGCCTGAAAGAAAATGGAGACAGAGAAATAGCCTCAGGCAGGAAGACCTAGATTCAGGCTTGCATCTGAAATATACTGGATGTGTGATCCTGGACTAGTTATTTAAATTTTCTTTGCCTTAGTTTGCTTATTTGTAAAATAAGTGAACTTGTTCCAACCCTGAGAGTTTGTGCTTATTATTTATTTATTTATTTAATTTTTTTTGATGGGGCAATTGGAGTTAAGTGACTTGCCCAGAGTCACACAGCTAGTAAGTGTTATGTGTCTGAGGCCGGATTTGAACTCAGGTCCTCCTGACTCCAGGGCCAGTACTCTATCCACTGTGCCATCTAACTGCTCCTCTGTGCCTATTTTTTTTTAATATAAATTTATTTATTTGTAGTTTTCAACATTCATTTCCACAAATTTTTGAGTTCTAAATTTTCAACCCATCTCACCCTCCCCCCATCCCAAGATGGCATGCATTGAGAATACCCCTTCCCCTAGTATGTCCTCTTTTCTTTCTCTCCCCCCTTCTCTTATCGCCTTCCCCTTCTATTTTCCTGTAGGGCAGGTTAGACTTCTGTACCCCATTTCCTGTATTTCTTATTTCCCGATAGCATGTGAAAACTTTTTTTTTAAACATATGTTTTTAAAACTTTAGGTTTCAAATTTTCTGTCTTCCTCCCTCCCCACCCACCCTCATTGAAAAGGCAAGCAACTCAATATAGGTTGTACATGTGCAGTTATGCAAAACACTTCCATAGCAGACATGTTGTGAAAAACTAACTCTATTTCCCTTAATCCTATCCTGCCCTCCCATTTATTCTATTCTTTCTTTTGACCCTGTTCCTCCTCAGAAGTATTTACTTCTGATTACACCCTTTTCCAATCTGCCCTCCTCTCTATCATCCCCCTGCTCTCTTGTCCCCTTCTCCCCCTATTTTCTTGTAGGGTAAGACAATTTCCATACCCAATTGAATGTGTATGTTATTCCCTCCTTAAGCCAAATCCTATGAGAATAAGATTACTCATTCCCTCTCACCTTCCCCTGCTTCCCTCCACTGTAAGAGACTTTTCTTTTCTGTTTTTTTTGTGAGATAATTTACCCCATTCTACCTCTCCCTTTCTTCTTCTCCGAGTATAATCCTCCCTCATCCCTTAATTTTATTCTCCAGATATGACCCCTTAATCTTCAACTCACCCTGTGCCATCTATCTATCTCTCTATCTATCTATCTATCTATTTATCTATCTATCTACATACATGTAATTTTTTTCCTCCAACTACCCTAATATGACAAAGGTCTCATGAGTTATAAATATCATCTTTCCATGCAGGAATGTAAACAGTTCAATCTTAATAAGTCTCTTATGATTTCTCTTTCCTGTTTACCTCTTCATGTTCCACTTGAGTCCTGTATTTGAAAGTCAAATTTTCTATTCAGCTCTGGTCTTTTCATCAGGAATGCTTGAAAGTCCTCTATTTCACTGAATGACCATTTTTTCCCCTGAAGGATTATACTCAGTTTTGCTGGGTAGGTGATTCTTGGTTGTAATCCTATCTCCTTTGCCCTCCGGAATATTATATTCCATGCCCTCTGGTCCTTTAATGTAGAAGCTGCTAAATCTTGTGTTATCCTGATTGTGTTTCCACAGTACTTGAACTGTTTCCTTCTGGCAGCTTGTAATATTTTCTCCTTGACCTGGGAACTCTGGAATTTGGCTATATATTCCTAGGAGTTTTCCTTTGGGGATCTCTTTCAGGAGGAGATCTGTGGATTCTTTCAATTTCTATTTTGCCCTCTGGTTCTATATATCAGGGCAGTTTTCCTTGATAATTTCTTGAAAGATGATGTCTAGGCTCTTTTTTTGATCATGGCTTTCAGATAGTCCAATAATTTTTAAATTCTCTCTCCTGGATCTATTTTCCAGGTCAGTTGTTTTTCCAATGAGATATTTCACATTGTTTTCTAACTTTCCATTCTTTTGGATTTGTTTTACAGTGTCTTGATTTCTCATAAAGTCACTAGCTTCCAATTGCTCTATTCTAATTTTTAAGGAAGTATTTTCTTCAGTAATCTTTTGGACTTCCTTTTCCATTTGGCCAATTTTTCTTTTTAGGGCATTTTCTCCTCATTGGCTTTTTGGACCTCTTTTGCCATTTGGGTTAGGCTATTTTTTAAAGTGTCATTTTCTTCAGTATTTTTTGGGTCTCCTTTAGCAAGCTGTTGACTTGTTTTTCATGATTTTCTTTCATCACTCTCATTTCTCTTCCCAGTTTTTCCTTACTTGCTTCTCAAAATCCCTTTTGAGCTCTTCCAAGGCCTGGGACTGATTCATATTTTTCTTGGAGGCTTTGGATGTAGGAGCTTTGACTTTGTTGTCTTCTTCTGGTTGTATTTTTGATCTTTTTTCACCAAAGTAAGATAATATAGTCTGACTCTTTTTGCTGCTTGCTCATGATCCCGGCCAATTACTTGAGTTTTAAACTCTTTGTTAAGGTAAGAGTCTGCTTCCAGTGTGGAGAATGTACTGTCCCAAGCTTTGGGTGGTTTGTACAGCTGTTTTCAGAGATACTTGTAGGGCCCTGTAAATTTTCAGTTCTTCCAAGGTGGTATGATAAGGGGTGAGTGAGGTGTTTACTCCTTTCCCGGCCTGCGACTACAAGTACTCCTTTCTGTCCTGTAACTGTGAGGAGGGGTTTCTCTGCACAGCCACTACAAGCTCCATGGCACCAGCGCTTCTCCTCACCCCAGCACTGCAGCCCAGAAGTGTGGCCCAGATCCAAACACGGGCAAAGCAAGATATTCCTACCTCAGCACTGGCAAAGAGATCCCTGCAATCCCTCTCTGACTCCCCCTCAGTCTGTGGGCCGGAAGCTCGGGAAGCAGCTGCCTCCCCCCCCCCATGCTCTTGGGGAATGAAGCTGAAACCCCACCTTCCTTTCTCAGCACCGACAGAAACAGACTTTTCCCACTGACCTTCTAAGTTGTCTTTGGCATTAGTGGGTTGAGAAGTCTGGAAACCTCCACAGCTGCCTGTGATTCAGTCCTCTGAGGCCTGCTCCAGGTTCACTGCGTCCTGCACACCCAAGCAGCCCTGCGCTGTGCTGTGCTCCCAGCCTGGCCCGATACACCTTTCTGATCAATCATCCAGGTTGTCTTGGGCTGGAAATTTGTTTCACTCTGTCTTTTTGTGGGTCCTGCTGCTTCAGAATTTGTTTAGAGCAATTTTTTTTATGAGTATTTGGAGGGGTTTGGAGGGGAGCTTAAGCAAGTCACTGCTTTCACTCCGCCATCTTGACTCTGCCCCCCTCCTCTGTGCCTATTTTGGTGACTGGGAAGTATGACTAGATAGTTGCTCACGTGTAGTAAACTATAATCTCAGTGCAAATTAGCATTGTATTTGGCATCCACAAAAAGCTGTTTTGAATTTAGGCTGCATCAATCCATCAAGCATTTATTAAGCACCTACTATATGCCAGACGCTATGCCGAGTGCTGTGGTATACAAAGAAAGGGCCAAAATATAATACTTTCCTTCAGGGAATTCACATTCTACTGGGAGAAATAACATGTAAACAATTAGGCAAAGATGCGATATAAGTAAAAGGTACTGATCTCAGGAGGAAAGTACTAGAGAGGGTGGGAGGGGGAATTGGGAAGAATAGCCTAGGAAAGAAGAAAAGATTGGAACTGAAGCCAGGGAAGGTAGGAGGCAGAGGAGAAGAGGGCGGGTATCGCAGGCGCGGGGGTCAACCAGTGCAAAGGCACAGATTGGGAGAGAGTGTTGTGTGTGAGAAACAGCAAGGAGGTCAGTGTAGTTGAATCTTAGAATGAGTAGAGGTGAGTAAAGACTGGAAAGGTAGGAAGAGGCCAGGTTGTAAAGGGATTTACATGCTAAACAGATGATTTTATATTTGATCATGGAGGCATCTGGGAACAACTGGAGTTTATTGAGTTTGGGTAGAGAGGGGACTGGTGTGGCCAGAGCTTTGCTTTAGAAAATGAGAGAGCTGAGGCAGGGAGACAAAGATCATCATACTGCAAGTCATGACAGTGTTCCAGATGTGAGATCAACAGAGTCTGTACTGGGGTTATGGCTTTGTGAGTCTAAGAGTCTCTGAATTTAATTATGTTGAGATTTGGGCAGAATTTGCCTTTGGCCCCATGTCTGAAGACCAGCATTCGTGAGAACAAACCTCAGAATGTGAAATAGTTTTAGAGTTAAATTTATTAGGTTGTTTGGAAGAGTGAAAAAGAGGGAGAGGGGAAGGAAGGAAGGAAAGAGGGAGGGAAGGAGGGAGGGAGGGAGGGAGGGAGAGGGAGGAAAGGAGGGAGAGAGAGAGAGAGAGAGAGAGAGAGAGAGAGAGAGAGAGAGAGGAGAGAGAGAGAGAAGAGAGAGAGAGAGAGAGAGAGATGGAAATAAGAGGTGGTTCCCTTTCCTCCAGGTTATGGAAGGTTTACATTATGTAGGATTTAGACAACTGTACCCACACATGAACCCAAGTATGCAGTTATGCAAGTTTCCCACCAGAACAAT